GAATCTCTTGGGCATTTCTCTGACTGGGTTGGCTTCTAAATCTCAATCATCAGATCTCAGCCTCCTGAATAGCGAGGATTACAAGCATGAACCACCAGTGCCTAGCCTGGCAGGACTTTTAGAATTATAAACATTCAGTTTCTGTTGGGCTTTTAATTGTGATTATGATCAGGTCTTTGCTACTATTAGGACAATGTTAATAGTGGATCCAGCAAACTTCCTAGGTACTAGTGGAAGAAACTTTGGTTTGTTTTTCTTATGTGTCATTCCTGCTAAGAAGATTCATCTCACTTCCTCTGGCCTGTTTGCCTGAAAGTTCCTGTTTCTGCCTCAAACAGGAAGAGAAGTGACGTGGTAATGTTTGCTGAGAAAAGCAGAATTCTATCAGTGACTTCCTATCCCATTAGAAGGGAGTGCTGTTGGGACATTGATTTTGCCACCTTCTCCATCTTTTCAGCTTTTCCCAAAGGCCCTTGATCTCTCTTCTGAGTTTTTCCTTTATTAGTCCATGACAATTAGCAGAAAGATTCCTAAAATTCTTTTGTTTCTCAAAACAAAACAGAACATTCCATCCAAATTTACACAGAATAATTTACAGCATTACAATTCTATTACATATCATTTTTCCTGTGTAGCTTTTATTTGAGGAAAGAATCTTTTGGATATGAGGAAGTTCATTTTAGAAAATTAAATTAGGCAAACTAAAATGATGATGGGATTTATGAGAAGAAAGATACATTATGTGATAGGAAAGTTATTTTTGGAGAACTTATTTTCATGAGTTTGAGTGCACAGAGGAGAAAACATATGGACATTATTGCTAATTTAGTACTGTTTTTGCTTCAGGCTCTGTATGCTGGTTCTACAGACCAGGCTGCCAATTCTGTAGTCTCCATTTTTGAATGGAGTGCAGCTGCAAGAGATGCTATCTGACACACAGAGCAGATAACTGAAAAGACTGCAGCAGAGTTTACATACATAGGTATCTCATTGTGGTTGTAAGATGGCATAGCCTTTGAAATTTACACACTGTACATTGAAGTAGAAGTGCAATCCAGCTCTGAGAGCTCTGTGTGGGCAGCCTTGAGAGTGGGTATTTCAATTGGAAAATTTTGTTAGTTGCCATAGTAATTGTCACAATTATATGGTTTGTTCAGTCTTTGTGATACTGAACAACCCTTAAAAGCACCCAGCAAGCAATAGGGTTTTTACGTTTTTTTCCTCCTTGTGCACACTTAAAGAAAATAAGCATGCATGATTGGGTTTTAAGTTCAATTAAAACAACAAAATATTATCACTTGCATATCTCTATATGAAGCATGTTCATTTTCTAATAATTTTAAATTAGTTATTTTTTCCAGTAGAGAAATCATCAGGAAGTGATTTTTTTTTAAATCCCAAACAAGGAGCCTCAGAAATCAAGGTTACAAAGCCTCAAAAAAGAATAGGAAACTCCCCTCTGTTTATGAATGTGTCCTGTCAGCAATGCTGTTGCTCAAGTTCAAACTTGAATCAGGAGTGTGATTCCAAACCCTACGCCTTGTGGACACCCAGTGGACACTGATTACTTATTCCTTGATGATATCCCCAAGGCTAAGTTTTGTAGGTGGCTTAGAAATATCTGATAACATTATTTGGCTAAGCAAAACATTCATATTGCAATTAGAAAATCTTGAATGCTTATGGCTATATATCTTGAAATTTAATCTTATTTATTGATGCATATATATATATATTCATATATATAACCTATCTGAAATTCTAAGGTTAATTCAATGTATAGACAAAATAAAAATGTTATTAGAGTTTCCTCTGTGTGTGTGTGTGTGTGTGTGCGTGTGTGTGTACATGTGCACATGCGCAAGCACACAGGTACAAGTGTGTGCCAGTACTGGAGTTTGAACTCAGAGCCTCTTACTCTTCTTGCTCAGACTTTCTTGTGTGCTGCTGAGGCTGTACCACTTGAACCACACTTCCAGCCCCGCATTTTGTTGGTTAATTGGAGAAGGAATCTCACAGACTTTTTTTGTTCAGCCTGGCCTGTAACAGGTCTCAGTCCTTCTGAATAGCTAGGATTATAGGAGCAAGTTATAGTGCCCAGTTCTTTGGGTCATTTTCTTACTTTAATCAGAAAGGTTGTAATCTTTGCCAAAGTCGAAGTCAAACTTAATGTACTACTTTATACATTCACTTAAATTATTTTTACTGCATTGGGAATCAAACCCACGCTCATAGGTAGGCTGGACAAAAAACTCTGTAACTGAGTCACATTCTTAGAAAAGCTATAGTCTTTGATTGAGCTATATGCTATAGGAATTGATGGGCCTCCATTGGCTAGCTGAGGAGTTGGGAATAAATGGTACATCTCTGTACCTTGTTTCTAATTGGGCTATGAATTGATCTAAACACCGAAAGGCTTAAAAACAACAATTTGGACCATGAGAATTTTGTCAGTATGAAAAAAATGCCCAGGAAACTCTATATTCTTTTACATTATTTTGAGTGAAGCCATTTGCAGTTGAAAAGTTGTCAGTTTTATTGTTGGCCTTTCAGTGTAGTTTCCTGCTGGAAATGCTTAGGATTATATAAATGTTAATTTTTTTGTAAGGAAAATAATGTATAGTCAGATATAGACTCACTAATGCTTTCAAATTTTTATTAGGCACATTAAATAATGCATATAAATTAGAAAAATGAAAAACCTATAAACCCTTATTAGCTATATAACAAATCATTCTTTTTTTTTTTTTCCTTTCCTTTTCTTTTTTTTGGTCAGTTGAGGGGCCTGAACTCTGGGCCTGGGTGCTGTCCCTCAGCTCTTCAGCTCAAGGCTGGTGCTCTACCACTTGAGCCATAGCACCACTTCTGGCTTTTTTCTGCTTATGTGGTGCTGAGGAATCGAACCTAGGGGCTCATGCATGCAAGGCAAGCACTTTACTACTGAGCTACCTTCCTAGCCCATCATTCTTTTTTCTTTATATAAATATTTTAAATTTAATTTTGAGTGTATAAAGCATTCTCATGGTTCAAAAATACAGTGGAAAGCCTCCTTCATATTCACAACTCTCATTCAGCTGCTTGTTCTAACTCTGGGCAACAGCTATTCTTAATTCCTTGAGTATTATAGCATTTATTTCCGCATATAAAGGCAAATTATTATTATGCTTTTTACTCAAAAGATGACATTCTATATATACTGTTCTCTTTTCTTTTCTTTTTTTTTTTTGTCCGGTCGTGGGGCCTGAACTCTGGGCCTGGGCGCTGTCCCTCAGCTCTTCAGTCAAGGCTAGCGCTCTACCACTTGAGCCACAGTGCCACTTCCGGCTTTTTTCTTTTTGCTTATGTGGTGCTGGGGAATTGAACCCAGAGCCTCAGGCATGCAAGGCAAGCGCTCTACTACTGAGCCACCTCCCCAGCCCCTACTGTTCTCTTTTCTTAGAAATACTATTCCACATTGTTCTATTTTCACTTACACAATTTTCACTTAATATATCTTAGTCACTACCCATATTACTCCATGGAGAGTATCTGTGAACTTATAATTATATTATATGAATTATAAAAGTATAAGTATCTGATATGCCACTATTAAGCTAGTTACAAGTTGGTGAACATTGAACTATGTCTAGATTTTTCTTTCAACTATAATCTTATACACATACAGTTTTAAAATTCTTCGTATCTTGGATTTCTTAGCAATAAAAGTAATGACTAGACTGAAAGGTAAAAGCTTGTAGTTTGTACAGATATTGGCACATTTCTCATATTCTCAACAGCAGCGTATGAGAAAATAACTTTTTCCCATAGAGATTATCAATGGAATATGTTCGTTAATTTTGGATTTTTGCCAACAGAATAGAAAATAGTATTTCAACTGTAGTTAATTTATCTCTTTTTTAATGAGGAAAGTTAATTATGTTTATATAATAGTAAGTTATTTCTTTTTTTCTATTTTGAAAGGATCATGGTTTTTCCTGTTTATATATTAGAAAGTCTTATTTGTGATATTAGTTGCAAATATTTCTCATTTTTTAAAGAAAAAGTTTATGGTGATTCTTTTCATAAAAGAATTTGTTTCATATAACAGAATATGCCAATAAAATAATTTATGATTTGGGGACTTAGAGTCATAAAAATCTGGATAGACCATTCTAATTCCAGAAAGAAAAAATCTCCAAGTTTTCTTCTATTGTTTTATGGTTACATTAAAAAAAGTGAATCTTTGGTACATATGAAAATTATCGTGGTCTATGAGGTAAGGCATGGATATGATTTTATTTATCCCTATAGGATTTAATGACTAGTTTTTTATCCACTGATTTTAAATGGTATCTCTTTTATATACTCAATTTCTGTATCAAATATACTTCCTTTTGAATGTTCTCTTTTGCTACTAGGGTGCATATACTTCATTTTTTGTTATCTCTCTCCTTTTCTGTGTGTGTGACAGAGTCATTATTACATATACAGTCTTGAATTACATATATACAGCTAACCTCCTGAGTGGTGGGATTATAAGTGAGTGCCATAGACTGTTTTAAATTAACATTTTTTATTATATATAATCCTCATTTATTCATTCCTTCATCATTCAACAGATATTTGAATGTAAGGACATTTCTCAGATACTGAAGACACAGCAGTTAGGGATAAAAGACAAAGTATGTGGATTTTCTGCTCTCATGAGGTTTACAAACTGATGAGACTTTCATTTCCTATTGGCTGTAATACCTAGATATTATTTTCAGATAAAGCTTCAAGGTGGAGAATGTTCAAGTGATTTGTCTAATGTCCTAAGAAGAAAAAGGGCCTAGATTCTAATGTTCCTATCGATTCTTCATGTTGAAAATCTAATACCCAGATTGGACTGGAGCTATCCATATGAATCAATGTATAAAATCTAGGAAATGGGAACATTTTTTTCTATTGGCTGCTTTTGAATTGCTTCTTAGTTTATTCTTGCTTAAATTAAATTTGAATTTTAGCATTTGCAATTACAGGATGCTGATAGCATTCTCAACTAGGACTGAAGAAGTGCATCTAATACTTTGGAAAGCACATCTGCCAATTACCAAAGCATCTGAGTTCATCTGAAATAGAGACTTTCTTTGCCATCAGCTCTTCTGCCTCTCATTTCACTCCCAGAGTTGTGTGCTAGATCATTCAGTAACAAGGTGAGAGGGAAGAGTCAATTATTTTGGGTACATGACTGTACTGTACCTGAGTTTTTCACTTGGTGGTGACCAAACATGTCGGCAAAACCAGAGATTATTGGGATGTTTGAGTTCACAAACCTCCTGTACAAAATTCATTTATAATAAATTGTCTTCAATTAAATTTTAATAGCCTCTAAATTGTATATAAAATAATAGCACAGAAACCATCTTCTGTGCAGATAAACATCATTAGTGTAAGTAGGAAAACTTTTTTGGCTTTTGTTTCCCTCTGGGTTTTCTAAGAGCTCTGTAGATACTTTTCTGCTTAATGGGAAGGCCAATATGCTTTTCTTCTTTACTTCCCCCATGAGCCTCTTGTGCTAATAGTTGGCTTTTGACTTGTTGCCTTTTTGTGGGGAGTGGGGAGAACAAAAAATTGCTAATTCTCTGTTGAGGTGAAATTATATCCGCCATCTGCATATGGTCTTTATGGCAGTGCCTCATGAGCCTTCAATTCACAGGAAATCCTTGGAAGAATGCACAGTACAGGCCCACCTCCACAGCAGAGAAAGTTCCTTGCTTAGTCACATCAGTGGGTGACACAGTGTGCTGACAGGTCTGTTTAAACCCAAGTGCTCCTGCCAATTGGCACATGGTTGCTTAGAAGCTGGCATTCCTTTAGATGGCGTAGAATTGTGTTCCTCAGTTTGTTCTTCCATTGAAGTGGAAGCTTCTCCTTAGCCAGTGAAACTTTCTGGATTAAGTTGGAGTATATATAAAAGGGGTGAGAGAGAAAATGGGGATTTCATTTGATCATCGAGGTTCTGAAATGCTCATTACAGGGATATGGCTTCATGGTCAGCTCACTGCTGCTACCCACACCATTGTAAATGACTACACCCTGAGTGTCCTAGTTCAGAACAGTTTGGACTGCTTGTGCGGTCATACCAACCCACAGTAAATGATAGCTTGCCAAACCCTAGGAAACTTGGAGTTTACTTCAACTTTGTGTTTTCCCATTAGTCCTTGGGAAAAAAGTATAGATAGATGGACATGAGCCTATGGCAGCCAGTGTAACTCTAGGTTCAAATATTTTCTGTTTTATGAGTAATTGCTTCTTAGGAAGACATTTTTATTTAGAATCTGATCTCTGAGAGAAAATACAGTATAAAATAAATAAATAGAACATTTTAAATTAAAGTTTACAAATGATATTGTTGACTTAACTATATACACTAATATCCTTTGACTTCCATGTATGCTTTCTGTAGCATACAGCCTCCAAGCACCTGTTTTAAGTTGGAAATGGTCAATTTTGAGGATTGTGGCTAAGAAATGGTCTTTTGGTATGAAAATAATATATATATATATATATATATATTTTTTTTTTTTTTTTGGGGGGGGGGGTCCGGTCATGGGGCCTGAACTCTGGGCCTGGGCGCTGTCCCTTAGCTCTTCAGCTCAAGGCTAGCGCTCTACCACTTCAGCCATAGCATCACTTCCAGATTTTTTCTTTTTGCTTATGTGGTGCTGGGGAATCGAACCCAGGAGCTCAGGCATGCAAGGCAAGCGCTCTACCACTGAGCTACCTTCCCAGCCCCTGAAAATAATATTTGTTTTAGTGCTTGTTCTGCCTCTTACCTTGTAATCTTAGGCAAATAACCAACTTTAGTTTCCTTGTCTGGTGAATGGATGCAATGATTATAAAAGATCTGTTATGATGTATTATTGAGAAGATTAGTTAAGATCGTGTTACCATGGTCCTCAGTGTATTAAAGACTAAATAATGCCCAAGAGGCAACAATGTTACCCAGGTTCATACTACCACCACCAGGCTGAGTTTTCCCCATTTGCACAGAATGAAAACCATTGAGAAAGGTCAGTATATTCAATGATAGGAGATGTGAAATTTTAGTCAAGGCCAATTTAGAGAGAAAATAGAGCAATGAATCTATAACGTCCTACACAGAAACATTTCACGCAGCAAACAGATTTTAACAAGGGTGTGATATTTTTTAAAGTATTTCTAGGGGAAATGATCAAATATATGAGAATTATTAATCTTAGGATATTGAGTTGAACTAATCAGTTTGTATATGTGTGTATGTTTTGCTTTGCTTTAGTGATATCATACTTTTTTCTGCTCATTTTGATGACTTTAAAGATATGCTGTTTGTAAATACATGTTTCCCACATACAGGAGGAATAGTGTAGGATCATCATATAATTGAAGTTTTTAGGATACTTTTTCCATCAAAAACAAAAAAAAATCCTCATTGTTGCCACCATGAGTACTGCTGGAATTCAAGATAAATTTGTAGAATAATAGTTAATCTGTATATTTATTAGGTGAAAATTTACATGGCACTTGAAAGCTTAATGACACGGAACATAATTGGATCTTATGAAAATAAGCCGACCATTTATACTTTTCACTGGAAAAATATTCTGCTAGAATTCCTTGTAATTCTGTCAATTACTTTAATTTTTGTGAACTTTCAGAATTAGAAGCACAGCAAAAAAGCTCAAAAGACATATACCTGAGGATTTAGCTTCTATGAAGAAAAAGAATGAAATCAAAGTTATCCAACCTCAACCTTGTAAATTGGTACCCCAATTTGCAGAGCTGATAAAATTATCTTTCCATTGGCTGAAATTTATCTCCTTGCTAGTTGTGCAATGCCAGATTGGTATATTGTCTCTCTGAGAAACTCTATCTTAGTTCCTGGTGCTTTACAGGTATAAATCTATTCTGGCATTGGCATATTGCTGATCAGTTTGTTATATGCAGAAAACTGAGTGAAAATACTGTAGAAACATTGGGAGACATTTTAATTGCCTGACATCCACCAGTTGACAGTTTTGACTGACAACTAACTTCTGAATATTCAAGTGTAACTGACCAAGTCAGGAATTAATCATCTTCTACTTTTCACATTATTACTTGCAAGTGGAGCATTGCTATTTTATGCTAATATAGTCCCAATAATTTTTGTTATTTTTTCCCTCTAATAAAGTGAAAATACTTTTTCCACTGAAGGATGACTTGATGATGGGAACTAGTATCCTAGAGATGCATAGAGTAATGCTTTGTTTTTGTCACTGTTATTCACAGAAAAATAAAAATTTTTGAGTGTTTATGGAGTAAGATGTATCTATAACATGGTACATGAATGTCATGCATGTACATATTCATGACTCTTGCTCAGACTACCACAAAAAAATGCTGATTATAGTCTCAGGGCTTGGGAAACAACTGGCCAACATGCTTTTAGATAGTAGGGTCATGTTGAGGGTACAATTGTATTTTATGAGCTATCATACGACCTTCCTTTCTTTCCTTTTTTGTATTGTGAAAATACCGTACAGAGGGGTTACAATTACATGGGCAAGGTAATGAGTGCATTTCTTATCAAGCATTGTTGCCTCCTCTTTTGTTTGCCCCGTACTATCCCTTCCTTCCCATTTCTTCCCCCCTCCCCCCTGCTATCCCTCCCCCTCAAAGTTGTAAAGTTCATTTTCGACATAACATCTTGTACATCTCATTGCTGCCTGAAATTCTATACTGCCATTATATTAAACTTTAAGACAAATGAAAAGGGAGAAATAATTTACATACATACATGATAGGTTTATGCTGTTCTTCACTTTTCCACAGATTTAAAAAACAACATTAATAGTTTAATCTAACAGATTTAGCACATGTTTACAATCTCTTTTTTTAAAATCAGACATCCCTTCCTGAACTCCCCTCTTCATGTATATCATGGCATTTTGGAACCATCAGACCAAATATATTCATCCATACTTGACATACTTTAGTGAAATAGACTCTGCAATCCAAGGCAGAAAGTGGAATTTAAGGCTTGTCTAAAATAATCTGGAAAAGAACAATTTAGAGAAGGGAGAATCAGATTTACCAAGAATTGATAAATGAAGCCAACGACACAAGAAATACAATTAGAGAATTACAATAGCAGGAAAAAAATTAAAAGAAAGAGACAAAACCAAAATGGAGACAATTCTGTCTCTCAGCATTCTAAGCTAGGATTGATGCTGTGAGTATGTTCCTTGTCTTGACATCTTTCCCCACCCCCCCCCCCCCATCATATCTAGCTATAGAGGTAATTACTTATATTTTCTTTTCAGGAATATTTTAACAATAATGTATTTTAAAATAATCACTTTAAGCAAATTGTGCTCCTAGGAAAAAGCAACCACATATCTTGCCTCTAAAGTACTCACTTGTATTTATTATGAGTGTTAGATAGTGGAAGGGAGAGTATGGTCACTTTTCTACTAACTAAGCAACTATTCATGGTCAGATGAATTGCTTTTTAAAAAAATTCTTTTATCTTCTTTGAATCTCAGGTATTTCTGGTGATTTTTAAAATTTATTTTATTTTTAATTTAATTTATTTTTTTTTGTGTGTGGGGAGTACTAGCCCTAGGGTTTGGGCTGGGTACTTTCCCTGAATGTTTTTTCTCAAGGCTAGTGCTCTATCACCTGAGCCACTGCTCTAATGCTGGCCTTTTGATAGTTTATTAGAGATAAGAGTCTTTTGGGCTTTCCTTTTGGGCCTGGCTTTGAACTATATCCTCAGATCTCAATGTCCTGAGTAACTAGGATTACAAGCATGAGCCATCAGTGCCTGGTTTTCTGTGATTTTTTTTTTTAACCTAAAAATGTTTTTTTTTTTTTTTTTTTTTTTTAATGAAGGAAGTGAGGCTAGAAAGACAACAGGTCAAAAAAGAAAAGAAAAGGTTTCTTTGATGATTCAGATTTTTGTTATACATTTTTTTATAAATTTTTTTTATTGTGAAAATACTGTACAGAGGGGTTACAATTACATGGGCAAAGTAATGAGTACATTTCTTATCAAGCATTGTAGCTTCCTCCTTTGTTTCCCCTTCCCATCCCTTCCCATCCTTCCCCGCCCCCCCCACTCGATCCTCCCCTGCCCCC